ACTACAGCGACTCGGACTCGGACTCGTGCCCCTCGCTGATTTCGAGCTCGAGCTCCGACTCCGAGGGCTATCCCGCACATGGCCACGCGGCACCGCGTGGAGCCCGAAGCAGAATCGTTTCGTATAGAGATTTCCCCGGACGGCGATCTTCTGGGCGTTGAGAAGGAGACGTGGTGAAGAATGATTGGATTTATTGTTATGCTGACAAGAGGGTCGGGGATTTGTGGTGAATAATATCAGAATGCAAGTGGATTAGGTAATTAAGGGGTTTGGTCGACATTTTTTTAACATTTAATAGAGTTTTTTTTAAAATGATAAGATGACTTTGTTGGGAATACTAGATTCCATTTCATAATAATATGAAGGCATCTTTCCTTATACATACCACTGCTTTTATTATTAGGTAGTTCCTTTTATTCTAAATCAATTTAGCTTGCATCGAAAGGTTACCTAAGTAGTTAAACAAGTGGCCGTAGTCAGATAGGCTGATGGTCGACGACGATGTTCGCGATGCACGGGCTGGGGAAAGGGGTATATAAGGTATCCTTGTTTTCATCCGATAATTGAGCAATCTAAGTTGGGAATATTGCTGAGTAGGTACCTAAGTAGGAGATACGGAAAGCTTGACGTAGATAGATATTTGACTTGCTTGACTCGGTGGAAGCCCTGAATCATGGTTAATATACCTAGGGAGCAACATTCGTATGATAAGAATAGTCAATAGTAATGTTATCGACTCACTGAAAAATTTCTACCTATACCTAGGTAGAACTCTGTGAACTGGAAGTAAAATTGCATCTGACTTAGACTACAATAATCAGTATTCCAGATCACCGCATCATCTGGAGTGATTCACTGCTGTCTAATTAGTGACTGAGAGGGAGCTTTGCAAGAACTTCGTTTCCCATATAGTTAAACCAGCTAGTTATTTTATTCCCAAAGTTCTATTCCATCTCGATATCAAACCTAGAGTAAACGGTCAAGTTATTTACCAACCAGAAATTAACCAACACTTAGTTAGCAACCTCAATTTCCTCAGAATACAACCCGAACACAACTGAAGCCAAAATGCCGACAATGACTTGGCAGGAGCGGAATCGCAGCCCGATTTACGACGGGACGATTAACCTCAGCGGCACCACGCTGGTCAACGACTCCGAGACATCCTCGGAAGCTTCGTATGAGTCCCACTCGCCTGTCCCATACGGCAGCACCCGCCGATCAGGCTCGTACGTTCGGGCGTCGGACCTAATGCGGGACCGCCACCCCCAGGGGATACATTCGGACAGTTGGCGCGACAGGATTGCGCAATACAACGACTACAGGCCCGCGCGACCAAGATCGCGCCATCGGCCTTCCCCGGGCAGCATACACGACCAGCCCTCCACGTACAGTCCGCATCACCAGCCGTCTGGCTCGTACCATCCGCCTTCCACCGCTGGTTCGCGCCAGCAGTATTCTACACCCCAACACCGACCTTCTCCGGCAGGTTCGCTCTACCCTCCCGTACCTCATTCGCAACACCAGCCCTCGGCATACCGGTGGTTTAGCCCATACGGTCCGCCGCCCCCGTCCGGTCCACACCATCGACCTCTAGTACCCGGATCACCCTACGAGCCCTCTACGTCCAGCCCACGCTCCCCACCACCCCGCTCCCGGACCTACCCCTTAATGTACAGCCCGCAAGGCCGGGCCTCAGGATCCGGAGCGAACCGGGCCTACGGCACAGGCACGCAGCCCGGGACGCGCGCCACCATCCCCCCAACAGCACCGCGGCACCGCGCCAGCGCGTCGGCCGCGAACCGTGGGTACTCCGGCGTAGGCGGCGGCGACGACGGGCTCGCGTACCCTCCCCCGTCCCGCGTACATGTGCGAAGGGCGGGCGAGGAGGGCGAGGAGGGCATGGGGCCGCTGTGGCGACGCTTAGAGACCGTAACGGTAGGGCCTCGGGCCGGCGGCAGGAGCTATAGCCCGATCCGATATGTGGTTCGGGAGGTCCCGGGGCGGGGTGGCCGTAGACCTTCTGGGTATTAAGGATTGACTACCTAGGTACCTAGGTAGGTAATTACCTAGTGAAGAAGGAAACGTGAAGGGCAATGTTTAGTCTCATGCATGCTAGTAAGAGGGATGTGGATTTGGATTAGGGATTTATGATGGATGATATGGATGGTGATATCAGATTGTGTCTGGATAATTAAGGAGTTAAATCGGTGGTTTTGATTGTTTGAGAGATAGGGGTAGGACTCATACCTAATACATTTATTTTTTGTATCCGAAGGCAACCCCTTTTTCTTGATTATGTAAGCCATTTCTTTTTAGTGGTTATTCATGGACTCATTAGGACCACATCATGTTATCCAATAACCAGGAATACTGCATACCTAAACTTTAAACTAAATTAAAAATCTGCAAAGGATAGCCGGCCTTAACCAAAACATCAAGGGCCCCCTTTTTCTCGAGTTCTTCCATCGAAGGATCCGACAAGAGTCCCTTCTCTACTAACCCAGCTAGAAAAGGCTCGATTCTTGGGTCGTCTTGAGAAACGGCGTGTGTCCCGATGTCAATAAAGCCCGCACTTCCCGGCTTTGCCAAGCTGTCTGCGCCTAGAAGCCTACGGAGGTGTCTCGGTAGCTCGCCGAGAAGAGCCTCGCCAAGCATCATGCCATCTAGATAGCACTCGCCTACAACCTTATATGTCGGATTTTGATCATCCAGTACCTTGGAGACTGGACGCAACGCTATAGGTTTGGAGTAGCTAAAAACAAGGCATAATTCATCCCCTGCGGCAATTGAGGCTGGGGCGAGACCGATATGGCCGTCCTTGGTTATGAAGAGAGCGCGGCTAATACAAGCATCGTGCGCGCGGTTGAGGCATACCTCCGAGTTCTCTCGTTGCAAATAAAGTTGTTCTTCCGAGTTGGTATTGATAAGAGCACGTACTAAGGAGAGGCAGTCGTTGTAGAATGGTTCGTGGGATGCAGGCGGAAACCATCGATCACCGAAATTGCCAACCCAGAGCGCGCGGGTATAGGCTTCCAAGATGTATTCGTGGGATCCGCGAGCATCATAAAGCACTACCTTATTTTCAGCCTCAGACAGCAGCTTCTGCAGCGCTTGAGCGATTTCGGTGGGACTGGCATCGGGTTGCGGCTCATATATGTGCAAGACATGAGAGACGGTATCACAACGAATACCGTGCGCTCGGAGGAGACGGTCATCGATACTAGCAACAGCGGGTAAGATATCGAAAATTGGAGGTAGTAATGCGTGGACTTGTGACGACAACATATAGCTGGACCAATCCGGAACCCAACTTGGTAGATCGAGAGAAGAACCGGGTGTACGTAACTCGCACTGGCTTAAAATTTCGAGCTTGTCGAAGTGCTCGATGTACTTCCTAGTCGCGTCCGTATAAACCTCGACGACGCTCTTAGAGTAGTCCGGCACGAAACTGATAGACCCTATCTCGCGAAGCTGGCCCATGATGCCGTATATCCGGTCTCGCTGGTCGGAGCACTTGGATGCCCTGATCTGTCGGCGGAGGTTAGAGAAACGGAATCTCCTTTTTGAGTAGAGCGCGACGGTATCGGCCTGGCCGAGGCATTCTCGGAACATCCGCCATTGCGCTGGGTTGAACCTATCGGCTACCATGGGCTTCCGAGAAATAACGAATATTGCCTTGCAGAATAATCGCCACCGGATTTGCTTGTGACCACATTGGAGCACTCCTTCACGTTCACCGAGACCGATTTCCTGCCGGATCCAGAGCCTCTCGAACCATTCACAACGTATGAGGTGATATATAGACATAATCTCTCGCTCATTAAGGCGGAGTTCTTGTTTCATATCAGCCCACTCGGGCTCAACAGAGTCACTAGACGAAGGCCTCACGATGCCAGAGCCGAAGTCTACGTCAACTGTGCCTCCAATTTGCTCGATGACTTCGAACGCGATATCGCTGTCCTCCTGCTCCGGACCAAGGAAAGCAACAACTTTCTGAGCGAGGTGGTAGATGTCACCCATCATCAAAACCTGCTTCGCCCGCTCTTCATAGTCCTCCTGGTTTATACAGATCGCGTCGGCCCAGATTGCCCTCGGCACGTCAACATAACGCAGGCATCGCAGAGCCGTTGCCAGGTTCCGGCTGATAAGAAATTCATCCTTGATGAGTGTGGAATCCGGCGATACGACTTCCACGACTACTTTGACAGGCTCGGTTGGAGATCCCCAAACGTACGACAAGGCCTCGAAGGCAGGGGAGGTAACCTCTCCAAGGATGGCATGATATAACCGGAGGCAGAGGCTATCGGAGAATTCCCCAGGCTGGACATTGATTAGCCGGATCTCACGGTCTCGGAGAAGAGGAAAGTGTCTGGCAATAGCCATTTGCAGAGATTGGAGCGTTGTATCGACATGATGATCTTGTTGGGTGAGCAGATCCATGGCGAGCACCTTAGTATATATACCTCTATAAGAGCCTTACACTCTATCATTTGCTCGGTTATGAGGGATGCCTGTTAGCTTGATAGGATTTGTCATATGTAATGCACCGACAGGGTTCACGAGCCTGTGACCGGGTGGTTTGTCTAGATTCGTGTTGAGTGTCATTTTGACTCAATAACTTGACCTGACTTGGATGCTTGGCATCAGCTCTTACAAGGTCGTACAGCAACATCTTCTCTGTGCTACATTGTAATTGGTAACAGTATGTGAGGCTTTGCGAAGTAGGGCTCATGCGGTAATATATTATATCATACACACCCGACCCCTAGTCTGAATTTGCCCTAAAATTAGCACGTGCTCTTTTAGGACTAGTAGATGCGGGGTAGGTATATAAAAGCTACGATGTGAATGTACATTCACTAAAAACTTGCGCCTGGGCTTTCGATATGAGACATATTCCAAACGGAAATATTATTGGGGAAAAATATTAATAAAAAGAGAAAATCGTTTATAGATAAAAAGTTGAAGAATCAGTTCACTGATTCTAATCAATAACTTGATTGCGGTGGGACTCGAACCCACGAGGATTGCTCCACTGCGATATTACTGAGTAAATTCAAGTTTCAACCTGAACGCAGCGCCATAACCACTCGGCCACACAACCGTGCTTCACGATGACGAAAAGGCTACTAAAATTGGTCTATACCAACTAGACTGTTTGCTTGTCGACGGGCTGCGGGAATTATTCCTCATGTGGTAAGCGGTACGTACCTAGGTGTGTTTCTATCATGTCCTTCATTTCTCCGCATTTGTGGTTTGCGAAGAAATCAATTTGTGTGTGTGTGGGATGGGATTTTCGGGAAAAGGTCGGTAATGATGATGTAAATCTAGCTTACATAATGACCACATAGAGACTAAAATTGACGACGTCAACTGTTCACGATGTTAAACAACGGCCCCTCACCCGACACCTTTCCGAGCGAATTTCTTGATAGTGAAGTTATTATAATTGTTGCCTATACATCATCTATGCTTAGTTGTTAGATACCTACTCAACTAATGAATTAACCATATGCTGTAAACCGACGGCGGGAAACGGAAGTCGTTCCTGAAGTTAATCTAACCCCCCCATGATGACTCTAGGTTGTTAGTATCACTTTATCCCACTCTCAAACAACGAAGGGTATCTGATCCTGACTCAATTGTCAATCATCTCCCTAATGTCGTATCAAATCAATTCGCTGGCAACTGTATCATGTTGCTTTGCCAAACAGATAAGCAATTAATTGCCAAACTATTGTAGGGTTTGGCCGGCATATTAATTAAAGCCCTATGGATACATTCTTTCGCGAGTAACTTTTACCTACTTCTTATAAGATAAGTTATCTTGGCGAAATGACGGGAAAGCGAGGTTCAAGCCCGCAGCTAGTCGATAATCCGTTCATCAAGAAGAGAAATCTGGAATGGAGTTTAGATCTTACCGGTTCAATACACGATAGTGGTGAAAGCAGTAGTTCCGATGAGCTACACGATCTGGAACCTAGGTTTGAGGATGAGGGTCCAAGTGCACCGGCGGTTGAGGCGGGTAAGGTTAAGATTGAGGATCATCTAAGCTACTTTAGTGGACTTTTGACGAAGGCCACACTCTCGCCTTTCTCATCGTGCATGCCAAGGCTTTCAATCGATGACTACAGGAAACTATACGAGGCAAACTCGGGAAGTCCAAAAGGCGCACATTTCATCGTACATCAGCATGATCACCCCATCGCGGGAACACACTACGATCTCCGATTACAGATCAACGAGACGAGTAGTGCGTCATGGGCCATCATGTACGGGCTCCCGGGCGATCCTAACAGCCAGCGCCTGAACAGGAACGCCACAGAGACGAGGATCCACTGTTTATGGGTAAGTTTTTTGTCAACTCTTGTTTTCTACACCCAGGAATCTCACCAATGCTAATTTGTACACAGAACCATCTCATAGAGACAGCCTCAGGCTCCACAGGCTCCCTCCTCATCTGGGACACAGGAACATATACCGTTCTCCCATCACGGGGTAACAAGAAACGGACCGATTTGAACTCGCAATCAGAGGACGAAGACTCGCCGCCTGAACTCACAGAGCAGGAGAAGCTCCACCACGCTTTCCGGGCGCGGAAAATCCGCCTCCGGCTCAACGGCTCCCGACTCCCGCACAACTACGTGCTAAACCTGCGCCTGACCAAAGAAGAAGACGCCGTCAGCCGCGTCAAGAGCGTGCGAACCCCTACGAGGCGCCGGAGGCGAGGCACTTCATCGCGGGGCAGAGGAAGAGGGGCGGGGAGAGGCAAGGCGGTAGAATACGACACGAGCTCAGATTCAGACTCGGATCCTGAACTAGGAAACGGGGTGAGGAGCGGTAATAATGATGATGACGAGTCGGAGATAGTAAACGCGCCGGCGGAACAGGCAGGCGAGGAAGAGGTCTCGCCGATAGAGCGCGAGATCCGCGAGCTCGAGGACGAGGAGGTGCGCCGCGCGAACGCGTACCCCGGCGCGACGAACTCGGTTGGGAGCGTGCATCAGCGGCGCTGGTACCTCTCGCTCGATAGGGAGGCGTGCGGGTTTGTGAAGAGACGCAGAGATGGACGTACGGTCTGGGAGTTTGAGGGGGGTAACGGTGTTACTAAGGGAAATGAAGAAGAGGAGGGTGGTAGTGGTGATGGGGAAGGGGATGGTGTCAGACTCGCGTTCCCGTTCTACGTTCGTGGAGCCGATGCCGAGAGGAGCGTCGTGACCGGGCGGACGGGCGCTGATGTGCTGAGAGATGAGGGTGTCGAGGGATACGTAGGGCGGAAGGGTTGGCGGCCTGTGTTGAATTGAACGAGAGTGGGGTGTGTGGTGTAAGCGTGTTTAGCTATCAAGAGGTAGCCTATTCCTTATGATCTAATACCTTTTTACCCCTTTTACCCCCTTCTAGGTGTAGCATTAACTATCACGAAGACAATACTGCGCCCTTTAAAATATCTAAGCCATCTTCTACCTACGTTTCAGAACCCAAGGCGGGAGACTATATATAAGAAACTACATCCGAAAACCAATTCCAAATTGGAAGTTTATTTTTATTGTGCACACTATTTCCGTGTGTAAAAAGGCAGCGGACAGACTCCCCCTAGGCAGATGAGAATTATGTCATACCAATGCGCGCGAAGGAAACCATATTGGATTTTAAAATTTACGGAGGGCAGAAGAGTTCGGGGCACCTCTAAGATATTTTATTACATCACACCCAAACCGCTTTTCCGTGAAAATCTAGACCTCCATAGAAAAGACATCGTTGCTACTGAGCGAGAGTCCAAGGATAATCGGTTGCATTCAATGCATCTGGGTTTGTTATTTGGTGATTAGACGACATCGTCAAGAAACCTTATGTCTGGAGGACTGGTTAAATTTGTAGATGCGGGTTTTCACATTTTGATCTCTAGTAGCAATACCTGCCTAGGTTACATAAGTCCTTAGACTACCTACCTACCTAGGTAGATACCCAATATTTCAAGGAATACACATATTTACTAAGTCCAACTCAATAGATCAAGTCTTACCTACTCTATTGCCAAGTAAAACCGCACCATCTAATGTCCAACACTGGAAACCGCCGTCATAACATCAGAGCTCCCATCTTCCCAACTCAAGACAGTAGCGTGCTTGGCAATCCTCCAAGGATTCTCCCCCTTTTGCTCCAGCTCGGGTAACCGCACAAGATCGAGAATATAGCGGCCCTAGTTTTGAATACAAGGTCAGCTAACCCCCTGAATAACACAAAGCGACACTGAGACGCCAGTACGGGGAATGCTTACCCCATTATGCATCATAGGCCCTCCCCGTGCTGCCCGGCGGAACAAGTGACCATTGACGTTAGCAATAACTCTGCACTTTTCCGGCCTGGCGACCCCTTTCACAGGTTGTGAGAGTTCGATGAGCAGGCCCCTGAATATGGACATTAGTTTATGGTATTAAATAACGAACCCCCGAGATTTGAAGATGGTGGAAGATAAAGATGGCTTACGTGGATACATGCTGCTTCCCATCAAACGCGCTCATCATCGGATCGAGGTCCGCCGCCCACTTCTCGTTCGTCGTCTCTATGGGTTTTCCGCCGAACATGGAGGTGTAGTCGATTACAACCTGCGGGGCATATACATCATTGACCAGGCCTTCCCGCGACCCCAAGTCCAGATCCAAGGTCTTGTTAGGTAGTGTCCCGTCAGTTACTCGCGTTCCCGAATAGTTCCCGAGACCGATAGGGTTGTAGGCTAGTAGGTACGTACGAGTCGGGTTACCGTGTCGTGAACATTGGCCCTATCAAGTAGGTACGCCAAGGTATCGTACGGAGCAGCCATCTTTGCAGATTATGTCTAGACTGGTCTCTGGCTGATTCAGCTGATATTTTCCTTTTTTCGCTTTATTATAAAAGCGATGTGCGCGAATACAATATCCATCGTGAGACTTTGCCGCCAGCATACATACCAATCTAACTATATACATACTCGACCCAGATTCATGGCATGATCCGAATCCCGGTTGGGGGCCGTAACGCCGTACTTTTATGTTCGCATAGATCCGCTAAAATCCGGCCTAAAGCCCGGAGCCTTGGCGGCATTGAGATCGGGGTAGCAGGTCCCCACTAAAAGTGTGTGAATTATTTTGTCACCAATAGTCGGGGACGGTGCAACTATATCATTCAATTACGGAATCGAGACAGGTCCCTTGATCTAATTGGTCGGTTCACGGCCGTGGTAGGGAATTGCGAAATCGCTTACATGATCACCAAATTGGGTTTCGCCGAAAGTATCTAGGTACCTCTTACACACATGTGCATTGTGTAAGTCAGGGGGGGGTAAGTTCGACCACCCTTAAAGTTTGACCACTCTTAAAAAGTGGGCTCAAATAGCCAATTAAATGCTCAATCTCTGAGAAAGCCCACTCTTCTAAATATAAATCCGTCGTACCTTTTTTTATTTTTTTTATACAAACTTTTACTTTTAGTTTTTGAATCTTATATTACTTTTAACCAATTAATAAGCTTCATTTTATTCCCCCCCACCACTAGTAACCAATGAAAATGCTTCGTGTCTTTCGTACGCCCCGCATACATGAATGCACCCAATTAACGCTCGAATTGACCGTTGAATTTATACAAACCAGTACATTCGTGATATTATCGGAGCTGCGCAACATTATTGTCCGATGGATATGAATGATCCAATCAAACAACGTCTTTCGAAAAGGCGGGGAATATCATTGACCAGCTCGCGTTTTAATTGGTTAAATCCCAAGCTAAGAACTAATCCCTAAAACAATAATCCTAATGATTTTTACGGATATTAGGGATATTTATCGCATTGAGCGAAAATTAAAAAAGAAACTAAGCCTAAATGGTATTAGTAGCGCGGTTTCATTGGCTGGTATAAATGCGTTATGCTTAAAATGGCAATTGGAGATCTTGAAACCAATCATAAGCTAGTAATTTATCTCTTAGTTTTCAATGTACCACGTTATACCCAAAGTAGTCTGCACCATACCCAAATCAGCTAGCTTTGTGGAGCTGGTCAAACTTTAAGGGTGGTCGAACTTACCCCCCCCTGACTTATAAAGCAGCTTGGACACGATGTTGGTGATGTCA